TGCAAACCGTGGTGGGGTTGCCTCCCCACAAGCGCTTTTTTGCCGTCTTTTAGCTGGACGCACATGGCGGAACTAAGGGTCCGCTAGTTCAATTGCCAACTCCGCACGTTCCACCTCGTCTCCCAGGTAGAGCTTGAGACGATGACCATTCACTTTAAAAGGCTCACCCTGCGGGTTGGCAATCTCGATCGTGCCATACGGGAACACCTGTGTGACCGTGAACGGTCCAGACCACCGGGAGTGGAGTTTTCCGGGAAAGAGCTTCAGGCGAGAGTTATAGAGGAGAACTCGATCGCCAACCTGAAACTCCTTCGGACCCCTCACGGGGCGTCGTGAAGACGCTTAGTGCGCTCCTTGTACAGCTTGGTGTTTTCGTAGGCGTGGTAACACTAACATCCAAGTTGAGCAGCTTAAGGGCCCAGAAGGCCTTGTGCTCTAGCTCCACGGGCAAGTGACATGCCTTTCCATAGACAAGCCGATACGGTGAAGTACCAATTGGCGTCTTGTAGGCAGTCCGGTATGCCCAGAGAGCATCATCGAGCTTGGTGGACCACTCCTTGAGGGATTGATCCACCATTTTCTCTAGTATGCGCTTAAGCTTCTGGTTCGTCAGCTCGGCCTGACCACTCGTCTGGGGGTGGTAGGCCACGGACACCTTGTGGGTCAAAGAATTCATACTAGGGTTCATACAACCAGACCCAACATACAAATCTAGGATTCTCCATACCCAAGTGAGAAAGGGAGTTTACTCCATAGAGAGTGAAGGAAAATCTGCTTCAGATGCGGAATTCATACGGTGAAGGATGAGGATCAGCTTCTGGTGATCAATCGGCACTCCTCCAAGCTTCCATCGAGCTCCAATGGTGTTGAAGATCGATTTAGGGCACTTGGAAGTTCTGTTCGTCACTTTCTCTCTAGGTTTTCTGCTCTCTAGCTAGGGGTGGGCATTCGGTCGGTTCGGTTTGAACCGAACCGAAAAGATGCATACCGGTATTCCGATTCCCAGCAAAGGCCAAACCGATTCCGAACCGAATTATATTTCGGTTCAGTTGGGCCGAACCGAAATATTACTCGGTTCGGAATGGAAAACCCGAATTTCGATCTTCTCCCATTCCCACTCTCTATTTCCTCTTCGCTGACAAAAGACTCCCTCACAAAACCTACTTTTTCCTCTTCCACCTCAGACCTCTCCCACTTCCTCTTCTTTCTTCCTCTCTGTTGCAACATAAAAAACAGAGATCGTGCTCCATCCGTCGCCGACGGCAGCCCCCGCGAGTCCCTTCCTCTCCATTCGGCGTCCCGTTGTGCTCTTTCTTCTTCCCTGTCCAGCAGCAACATTAGAGATCCGCTCCTCTGGCGAGTCCCTTCTTCTCCCATTGCGGCCTTTTCACTCCAGGCGAGTCCCTTCTTTTCCTCTGGTTGAGTTGAGTTCCCTCCGCCGTTGAGTTCGTGCTCTGCTCCTTCGCCGCCGGTCGCCCTCTCCCATGGCGTCCCTTTCACTCCCGTTGTTTGCATGTAGTTATCGCCCATCTGAAATCAAACATCGGCAGCAAAAGCAACTCTGATGGCTCGATCTGGTCTCCCTTCCACCGTCGCCGCCATGAAACCTAGCTGCCCCAGTACCGCCGAGCTTCTGCCGGACCCCTCCATCCTGACGCCGATGACGATGTGGGTGACGAAGAGACGGAAGAAGGTAGTGAACCCGGATTTGATGGCGGAGACGAGATTCATGGATTGGCCGTAGAATCCGTGGAGGGCGAGGGTTTCGATTGGGATTTTGAGTTCATCGTCATCGTGGTGGTGGGGAATTGAGGATAGGGGTGACTGTTGCGAGATGAGGATAGGGGTGGGAGGCGGCGATTGCCAAAAGATGAGCTAGGCTTAGGGTTTTGGTAGGAATGGGTTGAGTTTTGAATAATGTTTGGGCTTGTGGAGTGGAGTTTGTTGGGCTGTAGCCTTTGTGGGAGAGAGTGGGCTGCCAGTTGGGCTTTGGGAGAGGGTGGGTAATCAGTTGGGCTATGGGAGAGGGTAGACTTATTTGAGTTGATTAGGTTAATTCGGTTTTTCGGTTCGGTTGTTCAGAATTCGGGTTCGGTCGGCAGACCCTGGTTTCCGAAATACATCATTTTCCCTTCCGAATTCCGAACCGAACAACAAAAGTTCGGTTTTGGTTCGGTGTAACTTTGGTCCGGTTCGGTTCGGGTTTACTGAACCGGATGCCCACCCCTATCTCTAGCTCCCAAAAATTGGATTCCCTTGCAAAATTGGTCTTCTTTCCCTCAAAAGGCAACAGGAGGCGATACCCGGTCGGGTATTTCAGGTGACCGGCCGGGTATTTTGAAACGCTGCGCAGTGAAAAAGGGCTAATACCCGATCGAGGTCCAGAATACGCGATCGAGTATTTTAGCTATCCGGCTGGGACCCCTTCTGGATTTCTGGCGCCCAAAACAACTTTACCCGGTCGGGTATTTCAAGGGCCGACCGGGTATTTCCTTCCTCCATCGCCTTTCACTCCAACTTCCTCCTTTTTTACCCGAAACACGTTTCCACACCTCCATGTCCACGCTAAGTCCTGAAATATGACATAAACGCACAACCTAGCGTGAAATCGGCTTAAAACACGAAAATCGACTCTCAAACGACTCAAGAATGGTGGTCTAAACATGTGCAATTAATGGTCTATCAGATATCGTCGATTGATTGGTTGTCGCTAGTGGAGTGGATAGACTGATGGTGGGGCAATGGTTACAGCAGCTGAAATTAAGAGTCTTGCCTTGAATGAATTCCCCTTTAGAAGTCATTGTCGAGCTGCAACAACATCCTGCTTAATCTTGGTCTGTTGATGATGTTTTTAACTTGAGCTACTTTTTTACCTCGTTGGTTTTGCGTAGCCTCTTCTTAGCTTGCTTGGGCGGGTTTCTCTTCTGCTGTTTTTGGGGTCTTTAGGTTACTTTCTTTGGTCCTTTGGTTTTTGCAGTGGTTGTAGCGGGCTTGTGTGCCTTGCGCTTTGTGTTTTTAACCCTTTTTCTTTTTCCTTCATATTTTAATCTATTTTACCATTATAAATAAAAATACCGATATCAAACTTCCAGCTCTATTTGTAACTGCTGCTTGGAGGATGGAGGGATAGGAAGGATGGCCGGGATTGCAGATGACGTCGACGATTAGGTAGGAGGGGGCAGAGTTATTGACGAGTGGTTAAAGAAAGGTATCCATAATCTAGCCTACTTAATAAAGACCGATCTCATCCATCGAGTTGGGATGCGCCGTAACTGAGAAACCCAGAAAGAGAAAGGAGGGTGGCGCGTGATAGATTCTCACGCGCCGTAGAACTCGAGCTCTCTAACGAACGAACTAAGAATCCGATGAAGATAACTAAATTACTACTAAACTATTAGACTTTATTGATCGAATGAATAAAACGAAGAGCAAAGGTACATATTTATAGGACAAGTCCCACAAACCCCTTTCCCCTTAAGACAAGGAAACCCAATCCCAAACCAACTAGTAAACAATAACTTCCTAAGCAAGACATAATTTAATAATACGAATAACCAAATAACAACCGAATAATAATATGAAAGACAAATAATAATAATAATAATAATAATATCCTAGGTGGCTGGCGGAAATTATAATGCACCAAACCCCCCCCCTCTTTAAACAACCTCATCCCCGAGGTTGCCTTCTTTCTCCTCTTCTCCGCCATCCTCATTCTTGAAGTCGCCGATCATGACGAAGACGTTCGCATTTGCGCAGCGATGCCCATATCTGAACCTCTCGTCGCAATTATAGCACAGCCCGTCGCGACGGCGTCTAGCAGCTTCCTCCGGTGACAGGTTGCAGATGATGCGCCGTGGCGGAGGTGGTGGAGCTCGGCCCGTTGTTGACGCAGTTGGCGGAGCAGCTGGTGGTGCAACTGGAGCAGGTGGCGGTGGCACCCAAGTCGCGTCGGCGGTGGCAGTCCGCGGCGCAGACCTCGTTGATCCCCTCTCCAAGCGCAACTCCTCCTCGCGTATCTTAGCCAATTGATACGCTTCGCCAGTGGTTTGCGGATTAAAAGCTCGGATATAGGCAGATATTTCCGGCTTCAATCCTCCCATGTAGGACCCCATGATTGCGGCCTCGGTCCAACCACGGCAATGATTCAGCAATTTCTTGAAGGTATGTTGATATTCGTCAACAGAACCAGTTTGGCAAATCTTGACCAACGCCTCATGTCCAGACGACTTCTCCGATGACCCATACCTTTTCCATAACTCGGCGCACAGACTGCTCCAAGTCATTATCTATCCTTACTTCGCGAATTCTTCCTCAAGCCACATGATCCACTGGTTCGCGTCGCCATCCGTGTGATAAGTAGCCAGCGCCACTTTTTGCTCTTCTGGAATGCACTGGTAACAGAAGTATTTCTCAACATGGAGACCCAACCAGATGGATCTTCCTTGCCAGTGAACTTCGGAAATTCGAGCGGTGCGATCCGGGTTCGAAACATCGCTTGACCCGGCTCTTCGAATTAACCCATGGGTTGGGTCAACCCATTCGGTCCACCCGAATAAGGCCCGCCCAGCCTGTGGACTTGGGGTCGACCCACAACGGGTCCGCACCAGCTTTGCTGACCCGGCCCGAGCGGTGGTCTGGGCTCGGCCCAGCTTGCCCCTGCAGCCCATGGCCCGCTTGGCCCAGCTCCCTGCGCTCCTAGCCCACTCAGTGGCCACTGATGGCTCAGCCCATTCCCCGGAAGACCCGGTCCGTAAGGGTTCGACCCCGCCGGTCCATAGGGCCCGTTTGCGTTTTGGCCCACTGCTCCGCTCGCTCCGACCCGCCCGCGATCACGCCTGTCCCAGACGGCCTATCTCCAGCTCGGCCTCCCTCGGTTACTCCCGGGCCAACCCCGTAAAGCAAGGCCCCAGTCAGGCCTCCCATGTTGGGTCCTAGCCCACGAAATTCCCCTCCGCGGCTGGTGGGCTCCGAGTCGGCCCCATCGCTGGCTTCCCCCATTGGCCGGCGACCTGTTCCTCCTCGCCATTGACGGCGAGATTTTCCCAGCCAGCTCCGACGGGAATCCCGCGTCCAATCCCTCCGCTGCGCCCCTTGCTCCTGACCGGCGCTCCGTCCGTCACTCCAGGCTTCGTTCCCGGCTCGGTGTCGAACTCCTGCTTGTGGAAGAGTGAGAACCCTCGCCCACGGCGACTGCCTTCAGATTCTCTGCCGCCATGATCTGATCACGGTGCGACCTCTTCCCCCAGCGACGGGGTCGAGCTCCTTCGACGGCTCGACCTCCTTCTTTTCCCAAGGCGGATTGCGGAGGATTGCGAGGATCGCGCTGACATCGTTCGCCAACCGCGCTTGCTCAACGCGGACAACGTTGATCTCCTCTGACACCCGATCCTGTCCATCCTGAAGTTTCTCCTGACCTCGCTGCAATTGCCCGACGTCGATGCGGAGATGCTCAAGGGCTGCTTATGGTCGCGGTTGATAGCATCCTGAGCTTCCATCCTAGCCATGATCGCCTGTTGATGACCGGTGAGAACTTGAAATTGAAGCGCCAGCTCCTCGTCGCCAGCGGCGGTTGGTGATGATGGTGTCGTTGGCTGCTTGCGCGGTGGCATGGTCTCCTGGCTTGGTTCACTCGGAACCAGGCTCTGATACCAATTGGCGCGTGATAGATTCTCACGCGTCGTAGAACTCGAGCTCTCTAACGAACGAACTAAGAATGTGATGAAGATAACTAAATTACTACTAAACTATTAGACTTTATTGATCGAATGAATAAAACGAAGAGCAAAGGTACATATTTATAGGAAAAGTCCCACAAACCCCTTTCCCCTTAAGACAAGGAAACCCAATCCCAACCCGACTAGTAAACAATAACTTCCTAAGCAAGACATAATTTAATAATACGAATAACCAAATAACAACCGAATAATAATAATAATAATATCCTAGGTGGCGGAAATTATAATGCACCAGAGGGGTATTAGAAGAAATCGAATGTTCTTTTTTATTTTTTTAATAATTGTGATAATGGGGTAGAATAAAGCAGTTGTTCTTTTTTATTTTATTTTTTAATAATTGTGATAATGGGGTTGGACGTTGAAAATATTAAATTTATTATTTTTTAATTGTCGTGTCACTCATTTACGGTCAATTATGAAGTTGATTGTCACACGAACAAAAATAAATAGACTTTGACAGTTATTTAGAAAATTTGAACAATTGACCTAATATTAATGATCATGAATAAAATAAAATATTTTTAATAACAAACATGAAATAATTACAAATTTGAACAAACTCGTAATTTACCCAATTTGTTCACTCATTTTTTAGCATGTGCAGAAGGTGCCCTTTTATTGCAGGTGGGACTAGGGATGGCAGTAGAACCCGAATCCGCGGGTACCATACCCCACCCAATCCGGTCAACGCGGGTAAAATCTGCTTTGACGAATTGCGGGCCTCCTTCTTCTCCCAAGTCCTTACTCTTCATGACCCACAAAACCCTTAACTAATCAACTATAATTTCGAAACTAATGTATGCAGTAGACAATAGTAGTGAAAACTAGTGTAATTGCATATTTGTACATGAACTCATAGGTACCCATGAACTCGCGGATACCCATCGGGTTGGGTTAGATTTGAGTTTCCAAATCCAATGGGTTTTACCCCGAATTTTTTTGGTGGATAAACTCATAGATTTGAGTTTGAATTTGGCATAACCCGCCCTAACCCGACTCATTGTCATTGCTAGGTGGGACAGTGGAAGTGGCTAAATTACACGTTTGGTCACTCAAATTATACAAATCTTTCACGTTTGCCACCCGAATTACTTTTCTTACTTATTTACCACTAACTTTACAAATCGTTTCACCGTTAGTCACCGGCCGTTACAGTCCGTTAAATTTGTCCTACGTGGCAGGCAACTATAAAGTTTGACCGTTAACTAGATGACATGAAAATTAAAAAAAATAAAATAAAAATTAATTTATTTTACACCTCATCATTCCACTTACTTTGTGCATATGATTTATCATATTACCTATTTAAAAATAAATAAATAAATTATAAAAATAAATAATATTATTGATTTATTCTCAACTTGAATTACCAAAATAAATAATATAATTAATTTATTAAATTAAAAAAATATAAAAAACAATATGATTAATTTATTCTGAAAAAACAAAGAGCCATGGCGCCTCCGTCTCCTTTCTTCCCCCAGGCGCTCACCCACTTCCAGAGGAACGTCGGTAAGGGATCTGGCTCGAAGTTGTGGCCAAGGCCCTTCAGGCCGATAATAATGTCGTCACTCAGCTCCAGTCCAAGTTCAAATGATCATATCACCACATTATGATATCGAGTGCACTAGTTCATACGGAAGGATAGTTTGATTAATTAATTAGGAGGAAATTAATGGACAAGGTTTTGAGCTGTATGGTTTCAGAAAGAAAATTGAAACAAGATTCGAAGAGGTTGAGTGAATTAAACTGAAACTAGGTGGCGATGCCGCGTTTTGTCGGGGGCGGAGATGGCCTACGGGCATGTATTATGTGGCCCATTATGGTGTTTTGTTTGTATTATTAGCCTAAAATTAATTACATTTTTGTTAGTAGTATTGACTTGACAATATGATATTGACTGAAAAGAGATATATGAGAGTCAACATACAATTTAATTTTTTTGAAAAGATTGGCTAATAAATGATATTTACCTAAACCCAAGTAGACCCATTGATAATGGGTACGGTATGAGAAACTTATATATGGGTTTGGAGGTTTGTATATGGAGGTTGGTAGGGTATGGATATTTAATTTCATAATCTAAATGTGTATGAGTTGGGTATTGATACCCATTTATTCGAGAGTGTTTTAATTACACATACACAAATTAGACCTATTTGTAGAACTTCAAAAGTTTAGGTACTAAAATGTGATATATAAAAGTTTAGGTACTAAAATTTAATGTTCATCAATACTTTGAGGACTTATATGCACAAAAAATAAATTTAATTTACAAATCTAAAGATCTATTAAGTTTAGATACCGAACTTTAATTTGCATAGTTGGAAGGCGAGTGAAAAATAAAACAAAGAGTAAGTAGATGATGGAAATGTTTTGACCAAATCTTTTAGTTGGCCGTCAATACAACAATCAATCATTTTCACTGTAGCAATTTATTGACAATTGTTTATGTAGATGTCGCATATTTTGTTACATGTACTTAGTGGAAGTTTGTTTAGTACCTCGTAAATGTACTAAATGAGCTTATAAAATCGCTCTTGCAATATTTTAGAGTCGTCTCTCTTTCATAATTTATTTAATGTTTCACGTAATGAGCAAATATAAAATGGTCTAATCTTCTCCTACACTTGAGTGATACAACATCTTGTATGCTACAAACTAATTAAATTTATACTTTTAAGTTATGTTGGATTGGATTCATGGATTGATTCAAAAGGATTTATGAATTAGATTTATGGATTCAAGTGAAATCTAAACATTGGACCAATATGTAAATTTTAAAAAAAATTGTAGGTACAAAAATCTCATAAAATTTAGATACCATAACATAATTGTTTAATGATTTTGCATTAAAAACAAATTGGGGTATCGAAATGTAAAATGTACATTATAATGATTTAGTTGTAATTTAATTAAATTTAGAGTATCAAAATGTAAAATATATAGCCGCCCAATCAAGTTGCGAGTTTAGGCAACAGGAAACTCACTTATGCTTTATATATATTAATATTAAAGTTGGTTGATTGGAGTTTTTTTTTATGATTCCATAAACTATGTAATGCACAAAATTACATTATGTATTAAGTGTGGTCGTTCCGGCAGGAGTTCATCGAGCCGGTTTTCCGCCCAATGCTGGAGTGCTTCCGCGAGACCGGCTCGTACCTGATGGTGAACGATTACCCGTTTTTCGCTTACGAAGCGAACTTCGAAGTCATCTAGTTGGACTACGTACGCTCTATTCCGGGAGAATCCTGGCGTCGTCGACGCCGGCAGCGGGCTGAGGTACTTCAGCTTCTTCGATGCCCAGATCGACACCATATTCGCGAAAATGTCGGCGTTGAAGTTTGACGACATCGAGATGGTGGTTTCGGAGACGGGATGGTCGTCGAAGGGCGACCGGAGCGAGATCGGCGCCAGCGTGACGAACGCGCTGCGTACAACGACAATCTTGTCAGTTGTCGGTCGGATCTTGACTGTTGGAGAATAAATCAATCAACTTATTTGTTTTTATAATTTTATTAAATAGGTAATATGATAAATCATATACATAAAGTAAGTGGAATGATGAGGTGGACAAATAAATTTATTTTTTTATTTTTTTAATTTCCACATCATCTAGTTAACGACCAAATTTTATAGTTGACTACCACGTAGGAAAAATTTAACGGATTATAACGGCCGGTGACTAACGATGAAACGATTATTAAAGTTAGTGGTAAATAAGAAAGAAAAGTAAGTCGGGTGGCAAACATGAAAAATTTGTATAATTTGAGTGACCAAACATGTAATTTTAGCTAAGTGGAAGTTGATATTTATTAGTTTTGAGTTTTGAGTCTTTTGACACAAGTAAGCGACTTTAAGCCATTATATGGCCCGCCTGTCTAGTCAACAGTCAATGGTCAACCAAAACTTCTCTCAACTTTGCACATTTTGTTCCGACCAGTTCCACACTTTTAAATTTAACGTGTGTAGTAAAATTATTTAGGAAGCTTACTGTTAAGGAAAATAGTTCCTAGGATGTTACTAGTATTTCCATCAACATATTGCGACGCATTTGAGTATTTACGAGTTGGCAAAAACATATCGTATTTCATTCCTCGAATTTAGCTCATTTCTCTAAATATTTTTGATACCATGACATTTCTTCTTGTCCAACACCTTATCCATTTATGTTTGAAGTTTAACTAGCAAGTCGAAGTTGAACCCTATTGCTGTTGGGAGCAAAACCCAATTATCGAATTTCTGCATCATTGGGAGATCCGATCCAGTCCCCCATCCGTATATGTATCACTGTATGTTTTGACTTCTCAATTACTACTGTTTTGAATCTTCCAAGCTCATCCTACATAGCAAGTGAAGCATATATACAAGACATTGCAGGAGTCCCTAATACACAAAGGAGGAAGAAGAATGGCTGAATCCTGAATGAGTGAGCTTATTGTTTGTTCTGAGTTAGTTATCAATGAATGAATGAGACTGAGGCCATCTCCCGTCCGAGACAAACTAATACTCTGGACAAAGTTCCAATATCTTTCTGAGTTAAAATGCTCCAAAATCAGGACCATATTAAGCACATAATATAATAATCCAATAAAGGAACGAAATAAAAATCGACGGACCGACCCCGCTCATCGGCCTGGTCTACGGCGGGCGGATAGCTTAAAAAAATCGTCTAATCCGATCATGTCTTTATGAAGCTAATCTTCCCGTTCAACGAGCAGTTCCGATGCCGCACCAGCGACAGCTTGCGGACCATCGGGCAAGTAATACCCCCAACAACAACGTGCGCCGTCGGCTTCGGCTTCGGCTTCGGAGTAGACTCCTCCGACGAATTGGATGTCGTCCGAAAGGGGCTCAGATGCGGCGAAGGGGAAGGCGATGGAGATGGCGACGGCGAGGCTGGGTTCCCCATCTTCAGCATCCGATCCTTCGTAAAGCTATTTGTAAATCCCAAATTGGCAGCCGCCGCCGCAACCAGTTTCTCACTGTAGGAAATCCGAATCTCGTTGAGATTGAGATCCGCCGCACCCCGATTCGACCGCGCATCCGTCTGCGGCTCGAACAAAACGGGCGTGGAGACCGATTTGTGCAGCGGATGCGGCGAGGGGACGTGGCAGGGCCACCGTTTGAACTGGCTGAAGGAGTTGACGAACGACGCCGACTGCTGCTGGGGGTCAGGGGAGCCGTCGACCAGCGGAGGGAAGGAGGAGACCGAATCGATGTCGTCGATGAAAGGAGGGGGGTCGTCTGCGGCGGCGTGGTCGGGATCTAGAGACGCACTTTTGCCGCGGTGGAGGCTCTGGGATTCCTCCCTTTGCTCTATTCTTCCCCGATCTCCTTTGGCGCCGGTGCCGTGTCTGCTGAACTGGTTTATGTTCTCGTCTAGTCTCATGAATGCTCCACCCTCCTCCGCCGCTCCCCGCCGGTCCGACGACGACTTTTTTTCTTCGTGCTGCTTTTCTGGCTTAAGATTAAGAGCGGAAACTGGTTGGAGAAACAAAGTCCGTCACGGAATGGAAGAAGGATATCCCATCAAATTATAGCTAAATTTTTAATGTTTTATATTGACTTTTCGTTCAATTTTTATCACAAATCAAGCAGAGGAAATGCAATTTATATTTATTTATTATTTTTGGCTTATATTGTATATAAAATTATTTCCAATTTCACACAAGACAGAAGCCGGTGTGAACTGTGAAGAAGGCAAGAAGCAACAGACCAACCCGCAAATAGCAGAATGATCAATAGTTGACCAACTCTGGAGTTAATTACTCGGCAACCTTATGGGAAGTTGGACGCAATTTACATTATATAATTGGCTTCTCGCTCCTATACCATTTTATTTTTTAACAAATAGGCCCCAAACCTTTTTATTACAATTGAACCCTTCTATTACGTTACATTTGTGTCAAGCAGATGAATAATCGTCCCTTCGGAGACATCCGATAAGTAGATGAATGATCAGTTTGGCTCAAGCCAAAGTGGTGACTCATCCGTGTTTAACGTTCAAGTAATTCTTTGGCATCTAGTAGTTCAAACCATCCCTGTCCTCTTTTTATAATGTAAATATATAAGTATTTAATTAAGAATAATTTAATAAAAATAATTAAAATTAATATATCAAAATAATTTATAGATTAAAAATAACCGACTATACAATCATTGTTTTCATAAACAACCACGAAAAGATTTCATATTGTGAAAGAAACGCAAAAACATGTGTTGTCTACACTATTAAATAAGTCTCTTTCAATGTATCTTACTAAACAAGCATTATCAAACTGCAAACTGGTTGCCAAATTGACTTGGAAACTTGTTCTTAATATAACTCAAAACTGAAAATGCTCTTTTTACACTTGTAGTTGTAGTTGGTGGAATCAAACTAGTGTAATTGTCGCTAGACAATTTCAAGGTTATTGGGGAAAAGATCGAATAGGCATAATGAGAAAAGAGATCAGATTAGGTCTTTATTGCAATTGGAATTTCATTTATAATATAATAAATTAATTTTATGTCAATTTTTGAACAAGTAATGAGTTGTGTCGTGACAAAATACACTAACACAACCTATAGGTGTTGTGTTCCATTACCAATATAAATATATATGACGTATTTTTGTTTCTCTGAAATTTACCCCTATCCCGGTATATTTTGAGCAAGTCGTAGCTTTTCATTTTATCGATTCATTATTATTTTTTAAGTAGATAATTGAGTAGTTGGTTGTGGTTCTAACTCCCAATTATAAATTATAACTAAACTATTCAAAATCGTAAAATGATCATTTCCTTGCCATCATGAACAATCTTTAGTAGAGGTGGCAATTGGATCGGATTCATGGATTCGTGGATTGGATTGGTGGATCCATGGATCAAATGGATTGGATCCAATGGATTGGTGGATTCATGGATTGGATCAAATGGATTGGTGGATTGATCCATGAATCCAAATGACATCCAAGGCTTGGACCAAAATGTAAATTTTGAAAAGTTTAGGTACTAAAATGTCATAATGAAAAATTTTAGGTACCAAAATGTAATTTTCCAATGATATTTTTCGTATAAAAATATAAATTTTAGGTACCAAAATGTAAAATATAAAAAATATAGGTACCAAATCGTAATTTGCCATTTGGATCCATGGATTGATCCATGAATCCACCAATCCAATTGGATTTGGATCAAATGGATTGGATTTAAATGGATTGGATTAAGTGGATAATTTGGTGGATGGATTGGATTGGATTCATGAATTTGGATCGTAATTGCCACCTCTAATCTTTAGTCATTGTAAAACAATCTTCTTGATTTATGCGTATTTTTACCATTTTAAGGCCTTACTTATTTGGTATTATTATCCCATGCTTTCATCATGGAAAGTGGTATTCATGGTTGTGTGGTGTCACCCTTCAGAGTTGGGTCAGCATGCTAACTCATCTTTTTTTTTTACAGCAACTCAACGAAATGAAGGACATGTGCTGATTTGTAAGAATATAGTAACAGAAGAGCTTAGTTGCTAGAAAATAATAATTGAGGGGCTCCTTTGTAATAATACTATATATAGGAAACGAATAGGAGTCAAGTTCGCCACTAATCCCTCATCTAATCAAAAAAAGTATCTCAAACTTTATGGGGGCTGCTGATGGGCTTTTGTAATTTACTGTATCCCCAATCCTTTCTCCTCTATGGAGTTGGGTGGACTCACTGTATAAAAAGTGGTCAAAATTTTCCATCTGGTGTGGCGTTGAAACGGTCATTACGTCAATACTCAACAACTACAGCTAGAGGTGTTTTAGTAATTTGCTAATGATGGGGCCATTTTGGTCAAGCTAGTTTAGCACTGTTTTGCAGAGAAAGAAAAGGGATGGTTTCGTTTCGTCCACAAGAGCAGAGTCTTCTTCTTCTTCTTCCACTCTTCTCCCAGCAGCTCTCGACTCAATTATTGCTAATTGCCCACTTGACGGCCATAGTAGCTCAAGGAAATTAATTCAGAAAACCAAGCTGTTAATCGCATGCATCAGCACACCATTCGTTTCGGATTGGTAAGTTAGCTAAGCTAGCTGTGTTCTTACTTCTCACTTTCTTGGTCAACTGATTCATGTTTTTTTGCAGTGATTGAGTTGTGTAATTGACGAAATTCATTGATTTTGATTGTGCTTCAGTTCGATTCCATGGAGGAACCCAGCTCGATCCAATCGGCCGACAGCCACTGGCTGGAGTCGATCAAAATCGAGCTCGCCGAGCTCTCCCCGCTCTCCTCCAGCTGGACAATCTGCAGAGTCCCGACGAAGCTCCGCAACACCAACAAAGACGCCTACACTCCCCACATCATCTCCGTCGGTCCCATCCACCACGAGGAGCGGAGCCTGAAGGGCATGGAGGCTCACAAATGGCGGTACATGCTCTCCCTCCTCGAGCGCACCCAGAACGCCGTCGCCACGCTCGACGCCTGCGGCAAGGCCATCCTCCGCTTCGACAACGACGTCCGCGCCTCCTACGCTGAGTGGATCAACTACAGCAACACCGACCTCGCCAAGATGATGCTCCTCGACGGCTGCTTCATCCTCGAGCTCCTCCTCCGCTACTCCAATCCGGACCCCAAGCTCCAGAGCGACCCGATCTTCACCACTTCCTGGATGATTCTCACCCTCCAGCGGGACCTGGCGCTGCTGGAGAACCAGATCCCCTTCTTCGTCCTCGAGTGGCTCTTCAATTTCACGGTCCGCCGAACCGCCAACGGCCTCGCCACCCCGTCATTACCGGATCTGGCTCTCCGATTCTTCCGGTCCTCGATCAACAACGTCAACGAGGAAACCCTAGGCGCCGGCGGCCGGCAGAACAGCCACCACCTCCTCCACCTGATCCACAACTGCTACTTCCCTTCCTCCCCTCGAATCGAAACCAAGGGGAAGAGGAACAGCAACAACATCGAGTTCATCCACTGCGCGGCGGCGCTCAAGGAGGCCGGGATCTGGTTCGAGAAGGACGATACGAAGTCCCTGTTCGACCTGGAGTTCAGGAACGGGGTGTTCCGGATCCCGCCGCTGCGGGTCCACGACTCGACGGACGCGCTGTTCAGGAACTTCATCGCGTTCGAGCAGTGCTTCCAGGAGAGCTCGCAGTACATCACGTCGTACGTGCTGTTGATGGACCGGCTGATCGACACGGCCAAGGACGTGGAGGTGCTGGAGCGGCGGCGGATCGTGGCCAACGATCTCGGGGGGAGGGATGACGTGGCGGCGATGTTCAATAACATCTGCAAGCAGATTGTGCTGCGGGATTTCTATTTCGCCGGGTTGTGTGAGCAGGTGAACGAGTATTATCACCGGCGGTGGAACAGGTACAAGGCGTCGCTGAAGAGGGATTACTGCACGAATCCGTGGACGATTATATCGTTGCTGGGAGCTTTCATTCTGATTTCCCTGACGGCGGTGCAGACCGTCTACTCTGTTCTCGGTTACTATCCCCACTGAAGAAGAAGAAGATTGTTTTTGGGGTTTAATTGATGTTGTAATTTCAAGCGCTGTGCGTTACGGTGAATGGATGCGGAAGGCAGCATTCAGCCAATTGACAGAGGATGAAATCAACCATATTTCACCATTTTATCACCGTTGATCTGCCTCTTGCTGCTTTACTTTAGAAATCGCAGTACGGCAGTCAATCAGCTCCTCAAACATTGGACAAACTGCGATTCAGAGCATCCTTTACCACCCAAAACCCTGGCCCTAGCTCGGCTTCTTCAGCTTTACAGACACCTACCCTTTGTTCAGTCTACTTCCATTTTCATGGCTTTAAAAGTTCCCGTCTTTTCTAATTCAACGCAGGACATCAACACTGAAAATGAAATGTAGCTTATGATCAGAATAAATATAAGGGCTAATACCACTACAACACCCGAACTATCGCGAAAATGCCACTTGTGTCCTATTGTTTCCAATATTCCATCTGTGTCCTGAATTATGATACTTTGTGTCATTTGTATCCTGTCAATTTCGTTGACCGTTAAAGATAACAGTTGACCAAACGGTGGTCAACGCGAATTTGACTTTTGTTGACGTGGCAAAAAACGAGACTGCCACATAGGTGCCACGTCATTGACCTAATATTTTTTTAATTCAAATTAAATAAAAAAAATGAGTTAAAATTAAAGAAAATGTAAATTCAATTATGTTATTAAACCAAAATTTTAAAACAAAATAATAAAAAACTCTTCTTCTTCTCTGCCAAAGATTCAAGCTTTGGCTCCTGTTTGAGAGGAAAATCAAAGCAAGAACTCGAAAGAAAAGCCCCATTGGAGTGGTACTTTTGCTGCAGAGATCCCACCAGCCATTTCCAGCCATGGAACACTCACTCAAGCTGAGGTCTCCTACCTCCGCCGGCGGCAGCTCCTGTACTACAAGGACGAGTTCGGCGACCGCGGTGAGAACGTGACGATCCCGCCGGGCTTCGTCTTCGAGAACCCGAGGCCACCGCCGCCTCCACTCTTCTCCCCGCCGCAACTGTTGCTGCTGCAATTTTTCGGATTCAAGGAAACTCTTCCCCAGATCGATGGCGATGACCATCCTCCTCGAATCCCTGTGAACCCCCAACGGCCACCGACGACCCTGGCCCTTCTCTCCTCCCATTCAACCAAGGGTCTGACTTCCCAGAAGCCAGAGTAGCAGCCTCCACCTCCAATCGATGGCGCAACCACCAGATCCTCGAAACCCCTTCAGCTTGCAGCAATTAGGGATTTGGGGTCTTAGTGATTGGAATTAGAAATTAATTTGACCAGAGTTCCAACTTCCCACTCGTTCCCAAGCCTTTTTGTAGAGGGAAATTGGTTTGGAGTCTAAGCTCATCCCACCTCCATCGTCACCATTTTGTTGCGGGTTCATGCTTCAAGGTAGGGAGTGAGAGTGGGAGTTCTTAGTATTGGTGAAGGAAGGAGGAGTGGCAGATGTGGTTATCAAGGAGGCGCTGGAGAGGGTGAAGGGGTACCCGAATCTGGGGAAGGGAATGGTGAGCTCCGACAGGTCGTGGATGGTTGGAGCGGCGATTGGCACGAGAGCGGGGATGGTGACCGGAGGGGACGCATCCGTCGCTGAGACGAGGTGGGAAAGGGAAGGGGAAAGAGGCTTTATTTTCATTTATTTTATTTTAATTATTTTTAAGTCACATGCCACGTCAGATGCTGACTGGTTTTTCTGTTAAATACTAACGGTCAACAAAAGTCAACACTAACGGAATCATAGTTCAGGACACAGATGGAATATTGGAAACAATAGGACACAAGTGGCATTTTCGCGATAGTTCGGGTGTTGTAGTGGTATTAGCCCTAAATATAACGGGTTAATTGTATGGTTAGTCACCGAGATCACAAAAAACGTTCAAGTTTGGTCACTTGAAATGTTTAAATTCATTGGTGATACTTCACTTTACAAAACCGTTCACGTTTGATCACTCTCCATTAACTGCCGTCCATCTCCGTTAAGGCGTTAACAGAGTCCGTTAAGTGATGACGTGGCGGACGAAATCGTCTAATCAGCACTATTTAACCCGAAAATAGTCTGACCCGACCTGCCACATCATAGAAACCCGCCAGCTCATCTAAACCTACCCAACCCTCTAACCAAACCAGGCCCGACCCACCAATCCAACTACCCACCAAGTTTAAATCCCTAAATCGAAGAAAAATCAACACCTTCCCCTTCTCCATCCAGCGTCGCCTTCCTCCCTCCCGTTTTTCTTCCTCTCCACCTCTGAATCAGACCACTCTTAATAGAACATAATACCTAGCAAAGCATAGCAATTGAAGAAAATAGGGATCAAGATGAGCAATCCAAATCCAATCGAAATATGATAAAATATCACCAAAAGTCTCCTGTCAATCTAGCCGACTGATTCAGTATGAAGAAGCAGAGGAAGGAAAACGGTTGCTACGTCACAAGGCGAAAAGCTCCAAATCTGGAGCCTCCGTGCACCAAAAGATATGCAAAACAGGCTTCAAGCACCCGGGGAAGGGAAAATGTCATTTTAGCTGAAGACAGAGATGGTGGCCGCAAGCAGTAGTTGGAGGGATTTTTTAGAAGTGGGTAGCGAGGGAGGAGGCGGAGTAGGAGGAGGCGGGCATGCGGGAGGCATCGGCGGTGGAGGACGAGGTTTCAAGGCGGGCACCTCTCGGAGCCCGGAGTACTGTTGCGGTTTCGTCCAACTAAGGACGAAAGTCAGGGCGATGTCTGATGAAGAAAATGAGTTTGAAATGAGAAACAGAGGGGCTAGCGGCGGATCTGACCGGAGGATTGAGTTGGAGAAAGAAAGGGGTGAGGGAGGAACAGAACGACACGGATCTTATAGGATCTTAGAGGTCTGCTTAAGAAATGGTGCTGGGATGGCTAGTCCTGCTGCTGCATATTGAAGCTTCAAAAAGGAGATCGGCGCAACATAATCGTCGTTTAAGAGGTGGAGAGAAAGAAAATCGAGAGGGAGGAAGGCGGCGCTAGATGGAGAAGGGTAAGGTGTTGATTTTTCTTCGATTTAGAGATTTAGTTTTGGTGGGTAGTTGGGTTGGTGGGGGGTCTGGTTTGGTTAGAGGGTTGGATAGGTTTAGTTGAGCTGGCGGGTTTCAATGACGTGGCGGGTCGGGTCAAACTATTTTTGGGTTTAATAGTCCTGATTAGACGATTTCGTCCGCCATGTCATCACTTAACGAACTCTGTTAACGGAGATTAGACGGCAGCTAACGTAGAGTGACCAAACGTGAACGGTTTTTGTAGAGTGAAGTACCACCAATGGATTTAAATATTTCAAGTGACCAAACTTGAACGTTTTTTGTAATCTCAGTGACCAATCATGCAATTAACCCTAAATATAACTATGTAATAAGCTAATGATGTTGGACTATAAATGAACTTGGTAAATCTATACAAATTTAATCACACACAAAAATCTTGTAACATATTTTGGACCAAGCTTTACTTGATCGAAAAATTCTTAAGTCCTAAAATTTATTAGGTGGGCTTGTCAGGCTAGAGAATTCAATTCCAGACTCATCAGTCATCGATTCGATCTCAGACGCACTCTCCAAAATTGAGGTTCTTCCTCTCCCTCACTGTCTCCTCCCTGCTCCGTCGAAGATTAAGGTGGTGGTCGGTCGCCGTGGAGACAAGAGTGTTGTTGATGGAGTGGTTAGCAGCGGGTTCCAGGTAAGTCTCTCATTAATTTTGTCCTTATTTAAGCTATGAACTTGAGCATCAGCAATACTTGGTCAGGTTTGCTTGTTCTTCCCTTTGGGTTAGTTGCGTTTGGGAATTTAGGAATTCTGGGAATTTTCTTAGCTGATGAGAGCTCCTCCTGACCTTTTCAACTCTTTTGTTTCAACTTTGAACGGCCTGCTGGTGGTCAGCCGCTTGAAGTCAATGCAACTCTAGGGTCTTGGACTGTGCAATATAGATAGTGAAGGTCAAAGCCAAGAAACTGTGAAATTTGGGAACTTCTCAGATGGCTATTGTAATAGAAAGGACAATTAAAGATGATGGGAGTGAGATCACACAGGTAGTTCGCATTAAATAATAGGGTTGTTGTAATTATAACCAGTCCCTCAAAAGTCATGCAGACAATCTACTAGTGCATTACAACTGCTTCTCCCAAGTGAGATGAGTAAAGACCCTGTATACTTGTGGATTTGAGTATCAAAATTTTGTATACAGCTGATTCATGGACAAGTTTGTTTGATTTTGATGATGTAATTACAGAATTGAATGTCAACAAGCACTTCAAAACCTCAATAACAGCATATTCAGCTTCCTTCAACACGGAGACGGTCTCAAAATTGTTGGATAAAGTGGATTTCTTGGTATCCATACTCTTGAAGACCTGGATTGTTTTGGTCACAGTGTTCCTGTACTTGAGGTATCCTCTGGTTTCACCTCCAAAACTTCATTGGCTTCTATGGATAGCTGATTGAAGTTGCAGCCAGAAAACTGTTGGAGCGAGCATGGACAGAAACAACTGCCATTTTCTTGGTTTTGTTTTCAGTCATGTTTTTGAGAGAGGTGGTTACTGATAATTTGCAATACCTTCTATGTCATCTAGAACTTGTTTATATAGGCAATGAGAGGAACCTTATGGGAGACAAGAGGAAACAAAGCATTTCATTTCTTATGTGCATATGCAGTTTTATGTTTATGACAGTGGATTTGAATCCCCCAACAGATTCCCAATAGTATGATGTCTATGAAGTGTCCCTTCTCCACCAACTAATCCAACTCAATAGCCTCATTATGTATTTTGTTTTGATTAAGGCCTTGCTCTGCAGGGTGGTAAAGATCCATACTTGTGCGTTCTCCCCACTCTACACTCTTAGATTTGCATAACCCTTTAATATATGAAGTGGTTATTACGAATGAGACGGGTGGAATGCAAAAGGATCGTCATTAGAAGGTCATTATTAATTAATGGTCTTTATGGGTTGTAGATTTATATTCATATCATC